GCCATATTAACTTGTTTACACAATTGTATATCAAATTCGGTAAAAACTACAACATCGTACCACATTTCGAGCCTCTTCCTGTTCCTGGTCCTCATTGGTTGGTGTTTAGTTTTTTGAGAGATGTGATTGGCTCTCTGTCCCTCATGCGAGTGTCGTCACACAGTGATTGCCTCCCTCCGACGTCGCTGAGTCCAGTTTAGTCTAGCGACAGTCAGATAAGCGTTCAGTGAACAGAGGAGCAGAGCTGCGACTTCAAGTCTACAATATCTGTGTCACATTACCCAGAGGACGGATTCATCTCCAGACATCTGCACCAGGTGAATAATACGACGGACACTGTCGGTTGTTTTTATTGTTGTTCTAGCTTGTTTGTCGACTGTTGAATTCACCCAATACTTTCCCTGCGTTACGTTAGCGCCTCTCTGAATGCAACCTGCCAGCTAGCAGCTTTGCTATCCAGCTAATTCTGGCTGTCAAAACAACAGAGAGGAGCATAATCTGCTAGCCAGCAAGAAAGCACTTCTCCACGCTCTCTTTACGAGGCGTTATCCCCCACGTGGAGGCTTTAATTGGTATATTTAAAGGCGGATAGGTCGATGTGGTAAGCTGTCAAAATCAACACAGGCTCTGGTAAATAGTTATCTGGCTTCTTTGGGATGTGGCAGCGGAATAGCCTGCTCCCTAGCTCGGTGTAAACAAACCATCACCATAGCCTGCCGATGGGCTGCAGGCTGCATCCTTTTTTCTTTCTTTTTTTATCTTTGACGACGCAGCTTAAGTCAAATGTAAGGTTAAACTGTTTTTCTGGGTAAAAATATAGAAAATCGCCCCCTTTGTATGGGTGATTAAAGTACGAACTGTCGCTGTAAACATGAACTGTTAGTCTGGCTGGAGTTTGGGTTTCTTTGTCTCGCTGCTCGCCTGTGTTGACTCCTGTCTGCTCTCTCTCTGTGTCAGAGTTTGCGTTGGTGAGTGGCGCATTTTGCTCTTTAACTGCGCACTTCAACGTATTTCATTGTATATGTGAATGGTCCAGAAAGCCCGTATTATTTGATTAAGAACAAGATGCAAGTAGGTGCTGGAAATGGTCAGTCCTGTTCCTGCTGGCTCAGCGTTCTAAATACATGTTTATTATTTGGCTTATTGCTTTGTTGTTTTTGATGTATTGTGAAAAAAAGAAAGAAAAAGCTGATCATAATAAAATAACCTTTTTGGAACATATCCAGTATTTATTTCATAAACTAATCATGTTCTTATGTAAGATAGTAAGTTGACTTCCAGACCGATCCGTATGGTTTATGAAATTCCGGTTTTAACGAGGATTGCATACAGTCAAACCAAAGTGTTTTTTTAGTTCCTAGAATTATTTGTATTGTTAACCAGACAATATTAACTATTTTGGTATATATATGTTTTCTGAAATATTAGAAAATAGAAAAATGAGAAGCAGTACTATGCCCATCCCATTTCAGTGTTCTTCTGTTCAGTTTGCAATAAAGCATGAAGTCATCTCATACATATTTCATGGGCTGGGTAGCTGATAGCCTATTTGTCTAGAACCCAAACTTTATATGTACAAAAACACTCCCAGACCCATAGCCTATGGTTATTTTATGGATCAGCCACGTTATAACTCCTATACTTAAAGAAGACATTTTGAATTAGACTTTGATAAATAAATTACATTTGCCCGGTTGCTGTTATTCTTGAATTGCACTTGTGCACACCACTGTACTTCTTTGTCTAAACTCACATAGGGATGCAAAGCAGATCCACGCATCAGTCTTTAAGGTATGTATCTGTGATCTGTAGTAAAATCAAGTCGTGCACACAGTACTCGCAGTACCACAGTAAGCTCACAATGGAGTTCCTTTATCTCCCATGAGATTCACACCCTAGAACCCTTATATTAATCTGACCAGGACATTTGCAGTCATTTCCTGTTGGAATATATCGATTTGCAATTATTCAAAGAATGAATTCCGAACTTCCATAGCTTGAGCTGATGTTTTGCACCACAAGAGTTTAATCCTGCTAGACATGGCTATTGAGCAAGCGTACGTCATGTTTTTGACTGGAAGTAGAAATCACTAGAGAATTGAATGTGTAATGAAGTCACTCTTTGACAGTGTGCCAGGCAGAAGAGCAGCTAAACATAGCTTCTACGAATAGTAGAGAACTGTCAGTGTAAAACGGATTGATCATAAGAAAGAGTAGCTGTGTCTCTCTTCCTTTTGATCACTTATCTTGTCTCAGTCTGAGCTTTCTTTCCTTTGTTAAGGAAGCACATTTCTCTTAAATGGTTTATCCTGTAATTGTGTTGCTTTAATGAAAATGTACACTCGTAACACTTGCAGCTAAATAAGCCTGGTAATTGACTTTGTCCATGGAGAGTAAGCATCTTACGCCCTAAACGCTTATGAGAGTAATCGGCGACAGTTTTTTACGATCATGTTTTTCAAAGCATAACGTCATAAAAGATTCCCTGCCTTATCTATCCAGAACAATAGGAGTTATTTTTATTTGACACCCTCATTTTCCACCTTGTTAAAACATTAAGACAGACTTACATGTAGGCACAGACATCTGAGTAAAGTGAGATCATTGACCTCTGCCTCAAGCTCCATCAAGGAGTTAGCTAAAAAACATTCTGTGATTTCAGTGTGTTGTTCAGCCTTTATTCAGACGGATGGCATTGATGTCTGTATATAGTTGTCAGTAGCATTAGGTTCTCCTTTCATCTGAACTTTTCGGGGACCTATTTTTATCTCTGTGCGACCCGCCTTTGGTTTACCGCCCAGTGCTTATAAACCACTGCTTTACGTTGCCCTGTGTTCAGCAGCAGGCCCAGCAGCGCACTGACCTGGTTGTGGTCCGCTCAGTGCTGTTCAGCTGGTTTCATGTTCAGGGACAGAGCAGATTTCTTTGGAAAATGTTTTTGTGGTCATTCAGGCAGGATGGAACCAGTTGGAGTGTCAGGCTAGGCATAGTGTGGGCTTCATTTCATGACAATTTGATATGTTCAGAAATTCTCTGCTTTAGTTGTAGTCCTATTTGAGGTTAGACTTCGGCCCTTCTTTAGAGAGACGATGACAAACTTAGCAGTTGTATATCAGATCATTTTTCAGCCCTCATTACCCGCCCCAGTTGAGAGTTGATAAAACGGTGCCAGGCAGCGCTAGCCTGCTGCATGGATGTTTCATCAGGTTTCTTTTTGGTTTTTCACATGGACCTATGGTATTGTGTCTGTGAGGAAAGCTGATAATAAGGGCACTTCTGCAGGCTAATCAGGAAATGTATTTATTTGTTTAGTTTATTAAACCAAACCATAGACACATTGGACTGGTCACCTCTGGCCAAGGACACCTGAATGTCACCAAACTTTTGACAAATGCTTGTGTGTGTAATCTGAAATTACATTATTCTCTTGTCTTCTGGTACAATTCATTAAGAATTGTGTTGTGTTAATAATGCGGGGCGATTTAGTTTTGGCCTGCAACATACATAAGGAACATTCTTATACTAATTATTCCACCGTCCACAATATTAGCGCGTGGCAGTGTTGCTGCTACGGAGCTGCCTGTTTACTGACAGAACTATGGTGTGTTTGGTTTACTTCACACTGTTTCCCTTTGTTTATCATAAGACTGCTGGCAGCAGCATCAGTCACTCACTGTTGTACCAGGACTGAGAGATAACCAGGGGACTCACAAGTACACAAACAACTCAGATATCACGTGGTGTTGTTAAAATATCAAAGATGGAGTTAAGATAATTTTCTTGAATTTTCTGTTTATTTTTAATGGCTACTGTTCAGTGTTTCCGCCAGACCAGGGCTGAGAGGGTGTCCACCCCGAGAGCGGAATTGAGCCGTCCCTTATAGATACTATCTCTTTACGTATTAGTGATGGGAATTCCGGATCATTTGGCTCGGCTCACTAAGAAGAGCCGGCTCTTTCGGCTCCTAAACGGCTCTTCATGTTACCACAGTTTACCACGGAGCCTCAGTTTCGCCGCTGCGAGGCTCTGGTGCTGGCAGTTCATGCGCGTGCTCCACTAGCACCCCCCGTCAAGGCTCGCCGGCAGTACACTTTCCGTCACAGGAACACGCTTGGCTGGCGGCGAAAATAATCCCACCAGATTCCTTTGCCCCTCCAACAGAGGGATGACCTTGTCTTTTTTCCTTTTCGTCATTTCAAGCGATGAAAACTCGATCTTCTCTCTAATTATTTTTGTTTTTTGGACGCCCTCGGCTCGAGTTCAGGGCGTTCCGAGCTGCATAAGGGCGTCAAATGACGGCAAGACGCCCCCCTGACGGAAACGCTGCTACTGTTGGTTTATTAATTTTGGATTAAAAGGTGTGTGGACGTAGAACAAATATGGTAAACTGGCCTGCAAATCTTATGAAGTATATCATTAATTTTCTCCCAAAGTAAAAGTAGGTAAAAGCAAACACTGACTAGCTTTCACAAAAAGCCAAACGGTGTTAGAGAATTAAAGGTGTGTTTTCACTAATATAGGGTGGGCGTGAGTGTGATGAGTGCAGTTTCCAGTTTGATAACATGGTCTCAGTGAACAGTAAAAGCAGTCATGTGGTCTCCAACAGCAGGTTTAAATCATTGTAAAGCTGCCCCAATTACAAAGGGAGGTTTATACACAACCCCCTCCCATAGGAACACACGCAGCATAAAGCAATGTGAAGTCAATTGCATCATCAAATAAAGAGTTTGTACAAGAGTGTCAAATCTCGTTTTTTTTTGGATAGAAATTGTGATTTCCAACTCCACAAAACAACTAGTGGAAGCAGGGCATTTTAGATAACAAAATAACTACACATTTACCAGCCAGAAGCCCCTCAGGAACTTATTGCAAATCAAATTTGATATTTAGCATAAGAACCAGATTAAACTCAATATTTTATTTGTTTATGTCCGGTTAATTTGCTAGGGATTCAAAAAGTATTTGATGTCAATTCTAAATGTCTTTCTACCTAAGTAAGCATGGTTGGGGGTCTTAAGGTATTGACACTGTACCAAGAAAAGACACTGAAGAAATCCCACATTGATTAAACTACTCCTACACACCCAACTCCCACACTCACCCTGACTGTTCCAGTACCTATAGGCAGATGGAGAAAGGAGAGACGGAACGGACTAGGTATGGATATCCATATTCGGATAACAATTCCATGACTTGTTTCCATAATCCAATCCAGTTCTTGAACGATCAATACAATTGTATTAATCAATTTGAAAGGATCAATGTTTGGATTGGGACCCAGGTGATGGCATACTTCACCGGGTTGTTTCAAGGGCAATGTGTTGTCACCGTTGGCCGGTAGCTTATATAAGGTGTTTATAGACGTTTATGGATTTTGGACTAACCTTAACAATAAAATAAATTCCTCCCCTGTCTAAGTGTCTGAGCTGTTGACTTTGCATAAATTGAGTTCACATTTAGGTATATGCTGAAAAAGACACGCTTTCAAAGGTCCCATGTCATGGCCATTTCTACTGATCATAATTCCATTGTTGAGGTCGACTAGAATAGATTTACATTATTCAATGTTCCAAACTCACATTGGTTTCTCATCCAGCATCTCTGTATAGTATGTGTATTCACTCTGTCCTACATGCCTTGTTGGAGCTCCTGCCCCCCCCTCCCTGTGAGCCCAGTGTGCTCTGATTGGTCAGCTCGCCCACTCTGGCTACAGCGGAACATCAGTGATTATGTTTTACAATGGCGTTTGTTAGCAACCAGAAAATGACACCAGTAATGACAAACAGATGAGAATGCTGCGTGGGGTCTGGGTGCCGTGTTGGCGGGACGTTGTTATGCCGTGTGTGCATGCAACTCGCGGCAGCGCGCACAGCGTAAAGCAAAACCTCCCAGACATGTGTTGATCTGTACGGCAAAGTACGGTTTGGAAACTATATCATTTCCTTTTGGAGGGCATGCATACCACGGCATAACACCAGAGCCTCGCTGCGGGGAAACGTTGGCGCTGTTCCGAGTTTGTTCTAATCTGTCAAAATGACAGACTGCTTTCAGATTTTTCCGTCATTGTTAAATAAAATATTCGGTTAACGCGACCACTGCTGTCCCAGCAACATCAGTACCAAGCCAGAGAGTTTCCCAGAGCAGGGGATATTGTAAATGCCCAAACATCCCAGCTTATAAATACCTGGAAATGTGGACATTCTCATATTCCTAAAAACCTGTCTGATGATGCTGAGTGAGTGACTAGTGAGTTTGAGTTGAGTTACTTGAAAAACTAAAGTGAAACTTGTTGGTATCGTTACATCCCTAGTAAACATGCATTACATTTTATAAACCAACTATCACACAAACCTCTAATATCATCATCAGTCAAATATCGGACCTTCTGAAAGATTATCAACCAACGAAAGACTGATTTAAGACAGATCGAGCGGCTTTAAAGCAGTTTTAGTTGGTGTTGTTATTATAACAATGTCTCAATGTCACTGTGTGTGTCAGAGAGGAGAGTAATGACAGCGGGTGACAGGCCACACAGGCCATATCTGACAATGTGACTCAGAGAGTGAGCACACTCTATGGAGGAAAGGCATGTTGCCTGACAGCCACTAACATTCATAACGCATGAACTAGGAGCATATACTGAGAACTGAAGTTGAACAGGGATACTGTTGCATTGCTGTGGGAGTGGATACACGTCCTATATTGTATGTCTAATGTTGTTTTTAAGCATGTAGTTATATCTCTAGCATTGTGGTTATTGTAATGTCCCAAAGTAGACTATAAACAGAAAATGTTACAGGAATTTACTTGAAATCTCTCTAATCGGCCAACAGTGTATATGACTTTATGTTGTTGTTTTAGCTTGTTGGCCTTTCCAGCACACACATGTCTTTAATAACGCACTCCTTTATAGCCCAACCTGGAGCTGCTAGCTGAAACGTACTTAATTACAGAGATTTAGATGAACCAATTAGCAGGAGGCAAATAGCCGCTAACAACAGAGGGACAACAACTCGTCTTGATTAGGAAATATTATTTAACCTTTTTTGAGTATGTGGTTCTGCCAGAGAAGTTCATAAATTTGCTTGCATAAGAAAAGGCTATTTTCTCCAATATAGCAATAATGTACACACAATTTAATGAGAATCGGAACAATTAAGGGTCCGCTTTGAAAACCTTTTTTATGTACTTGAAATCAAACCAAACATGGTTGATAAAATCCATCTACTGCTGTCCTTCAGTGAATATCAGGTGGTTGTAAAACGTACTATTTGACCTTTATCCAACAAGTTTTTTTTTGCCGAACAAAAGTAAAGGAAAGTCAGTGCTTTTCTTCAAATACTCTGACCTACAACTCGATGTGTCATTACACAAACACCCACACACTCATGCAGCACGCAGGCGTATTTGTCTGACAACCAGACGAGGCTGCAGGGCCGGTTTGGTGAGTCATGTCTTCTGTCATTCCTTAATAATGTCTTGTTTTTTTGATAAGCACAAGTAATGCCCTCACCCACTTCTGTCCACTGCCTTCGTCGGCACTGAACTTCCTCTTCAAACATGGGTTCTGTAGTGCTCTCCAAACCAAATATAATAACCAAAATCCAATAAGGTCCCCTGCCGAAGCCCCCCTTCCTTTCTTTATACAACGTGCCTTACATAGGTTTTAGCACAAACAGTTGCATCCATGACTAGGGTTGCAAAGGGGCGGAAAGTTTCCATGGGAACTAAGTTAAGCTGGGGAATTTAGGAAATATTCGATGCAAAAACAGATTTTTTTTATTTAAATTTTTTTTCTTTTTAAAGTACAACAGAACAAGTTTTAATTATTTTATTGAACAATTATTTGTTTCATTGAAGAACGAAAACAGGAATGTTGAGTTAAATATTACTCATCTGTGCATGTGATGGAGGAATGCACAGTGCCTGTGGGGGTGTGGTCTCAATAGCCATGCAGTAAGCGGTGTGCTATGGCATGGATATTCAAGTGTACTTGAATGGCATCTGTTTGTTTTAGTCAAGATTATGCTAAAATATACTTTCCCCAACTATATTTAAGTTCCCTATGAAGAGCCAACCTTCAATTTAGAACATTCCCAGTTTATTCCCATGGAAAGTTTCCATCTTTGAAAATTCCCGGAATTTTGCAACCCTATCCATGACAGATGGCCCCTTAATGTGGGTCCTCAGTATAAGAACGAGAAATGGGTACTTCTTTTTCACTCCACTTCCACTTTTTACAACTGCTTCCCAGCTGCACCACTCACTCTTTCCCTTGAGGAGGAAAAAAACAAGAACAAATCAACTGACATTTATTTTCAGTTTTCAGTCGTTCTTATTTTCTTTCTCTCCTATGTGTCCATTTTTTTTCTTTCGATCGGAATTTCTGTTTTTTTGTCGGTTGCCAGGATTGATTTTTTGAGCTGTCTTTACAGCTCTACAGTGACAATGATTGACTCCACATTGTGTGTGTTGCGGCACGTGCCTGTGTGAAATACTGCACATGACCTTGTAGACTGTTGGCATGCTAATCTTGGCAACTAAGCATGATGAAAAAATATGGTCATCAGTAACAGCTGATCCTATTATATAGAGCAATGTGGTACCAGATGAAATCTAGACTCACTACATAAAGGTCACAGGATGATTGAAAGATACTTGGACTGTGGCTTTAATTATACAGCATTACCATTTGTACCATCTCAGATTTGACATGGATGACTGGTTTCACTAATGTCATTAAGGCTTTTACTGGCCATGAATGTGACTAACATTCTGGGAAATATGCTTGTTCACTTTTTCATTGAAAAGGGTGATACCACTCTCATCTTTGTATGGGTAGAAGCCAGTCGCTGGTCATCTTAGCTGAAGTGGTATCAGTCCAACAATTCAACTCTGCTATCATTTGTTTTCTATCTATTCCTATTGAAGTCTTATATAAGAAAATGCATTCATAAACATCACTACATATATACCAGGACAAAGATATATGTTGGAATAACATCAGTGTCCTTGCAGTGATTGGTCAAAGGTCACATCATTGAGAGCAATTTAATAGATAAGAGCGTTCCTTTGTGTCATTACAATTCCACAAAATGCCATTTCAGCCTGCAAGACATATACACAAACTCCCAGTATTGCTGCTATTGACCTGTTGGCCAAATCAATCGCATCAATATTAATAGCTTAATAGCATCCTTGGTTAAAAGACAAAAGTGGTTATTGATGACATTGCTGTAGCTGGTTCAGGAGAGATTACAATGTTACAAACTAAAGATAGGAACTCATTGAGCGTACTAAAAGACTATATTTAAACATTGCTGACTGCAAACAACCTTGATCTGTGTATCTATTTTTAGAAATGTCGAAAAGCAATGGCTCCTGGGCATTTTCATTAGATGGTAAATCCCTTCTTGACCCATGTGTAACTGGCAGGTCTCTCAGGCTGCTGTACTGTTCATATCCTTTATCTGTTCATTTCCTGCAGTTAAAGCATCACTCTGGGGGAGTGTGATATAGAGCTATTATCGCTTGCAGAAAAACAGCAGACGGTAAACTTGTCTGCGTATTTCATGGAGGTTCTGGTCGGAAAATAATTAAAACACACACTGAGAGTTTAATTAGGAAAAAACAGGGGCGTACACAACATCCCCAAAATCTTTTATGTGCAGCTACGCCGCATATAATATCTTGGTGAATCATTTAGCATCCTGTTGTCGACAGGCGTCCTGTGTCAGCTGTTCTCTCTGAACTGTAACATTTGTTATCAAGCAGCAAGAACTCTTCTCCAGGACACTTTGCCTTAATTACCTCACCACATGTTTGGCTATCTTGCCTCCATCAGGGCGGTGTCTGAGGTAGTTTTAGTTTCCGTAAATACTCTATTGTGTTAGTTTAAAAAAAAAAAAAAAAAAAAAATGACATTTACAACAACAGCATTAGCAACATAAACAGTCTCACATCTAGTGTTCGAAAAGGAGTGAGAAGAAGTATAATTTATTTAATCTCACCCCCTTGT